TAAATTTTTACTCAGTGTATTTTTGTACCCTTCATTTAAATATTTATTTAGCATGTATTGATAAGCCTACTCATCTTTCAATCCAGTGAGAGTATTTATAAAGGAAATAGAAACCCTATATTATCACCAACAGGAAAATTATCTATCAGAAATAAACATAGCCTAAATAAACAAAAAAATGAGTATAGAAGCTTATATTTATATTTGACTATATAAATAAATTTGAAACAGGATGTTTATGAAGAATATTGAATGTATCACGGAATGCTGGAAGGATGAACAAATCTGTCTTGGATGAAGCACAACCAGAATGTTCCTTCGAAGAATGAAGAAAACACAAATTAATAGATGAGAGAAAGGAAAGGCAATATACAATAAGAATTTGGTTAGACGTTGCGATTAATTGTTGTTCAATGCCATCAGTTGAAAATGACTCATTACTGACCCTCCAGCAGGGTTTCAGAGGCTGTAAATCACATGGGAGGAGATTGCCTGTCTTTTTCTTTCTCCCATGGAGCAGCTGATAGATTCAAACTGCCTGCCTTTGGATTGGCAGCACAACTCCTTATCCACTAGGCCACCAGAATTCCCTTTTTATTAATTGCATTAATAAATTTTAATTAATTTATAAAATAAAATGCCTATGAGTAATGAGAGAGAGAGAGAATATGAAAGAGAATGGATTTTTTTGTTTCACAGACTTTGGAAATGTTACCAGGAGGCACCAGTTCGTGGAGAAGGACATCAAGCTTGGAAAAAATAAAGGGGTCAACAAAACAGAGTGGCTAAAACAAATACAGTGGCTCAAATCTAGCAAAGAATAAAGATGACGCAGGTTTAGGCTGTTTTGTTAGGTTGTACATAGGGTTGGAACTGACTGGAAGCACCTAACAACAACTTACAATTAAATATTTAAAATAAGCACATGAATACCTAGAGCTCTTGTTGCCGTTGGGTTTGAATGGCTCATAGCTGACTCTCCATTGAGTTTTGGAAGCTGTAAACGGCAAAGGAGATTACTCATCTTTCTCCTGCAGAGTAGCTGGTGGATCTGAACCATCAGAGAGATACTACCTTCAGGTTAGCAGCAAAACTCCCTATAGAATATGCCTAGAGCATAGGATAAGTAGATTTATTTATAAAGACATACATTTCTAACTGGACACTATGGTTTCCTAAAGGCCTGAAGCTCAAGTTTGGTTCTCATTTTGTTAAACAAGGTGGTTTATAGGTGGAGGAGGGGTGATAAAGAAAATGTGTGTCCAACTTGACTAATCCAAAGACTGAAAAAATACCTAAAGAAAGTAGTTTATCATCAAATAATCCAATATTACTTAGTACCATCTCCTCATCACCTAGGTCCCTGGATGGGGTAGATGGTTTGACTATGAACCTGCAAAGGTTGATGATTAGAACTCACGCAATGGTTCTGTGGAAGAAAGGACTGACCATTTAGTCCACTATCATTTGTTGTTGTTAGTTGCCTGTTGTCTCAGGCAAGAAATGTCTTTAGAGCAGTTCTACTTTGTAACATGGGGGTCTCTATGAGTCAGAATCAGCCCTACAGCAATGGGTTTGAGTTTGATTTGGTTCATGCATTAGCTAAAATCTTAAGAAACACTAAATGCCATTTGGCCTCACTTCAGAGGTTACGGTCTCTTGGAGGCCCTTGCTGATCATCCCAACTGCTCTCTTCCTACTTTTACTTCCTGTTTTGGCTCTTAGCATCTTTACCTAGGAGGACTGGTTATCTTTCCTTCCTCTCCTGTGTGTTGGCATCCTACTTGAACTAGATAACATTCTGGGCAAGGACAGGATGGATAGACATAGGTGGAGAAGAAAACCTGTTCCTACAGGGAGAGTTGTGAGAAATTACCATGAAGCAAAGTGCAAACCCAGCGAGGAGAACACAGGAAGGCTTCACACAGGAGGAGGCACCTGAGGGGGCCACCAAAGCGAAATAGAGGGTTTTTGGGTAGAAAAGAGACATTTCAGTCACATACTCAAGATGGGAAATATGTGTATCCTGTGAAACACTGAATGTTTTGATAGGAGTCACGGAAATTGTAGGAAATGGGGCCAAAATAGAAGATTTGAATGGGCCTTGAATGCCAGGAACACGGACCTTATCTTGTGAGTAGTGTGGTTAGACAGGGTTAGAAAGACCACTAGGGATGCAGCATTGTGGAGGGGTCTCAGAGAGACACGGGAGAGGCTGGAAAGGCTGACTGCAAAGGCCCAGGTGAGGGCAGGGCTGAGTCAAACTAGATGGCTGACTTGTCAGAAACACTACAGTATTTCCTGGGTGCTTATCATGTGTATCATGAGATAGACAACCACTATTCACCCGCCTCACTGTGTGGAGGAGACTGAGGCACAAAGCAGTTAAGGAATGTCCCAGTTCACCCGGCTAGTGAGCATGGAGCTGGCACTTCATTGGTGACAGAATATGCCTCTAAATTTCTGCTGGAATTGAAAACTGCAAATTCTAGGACTAAGTTACACATCTCCATACCCTTCCCTGGGCTCAATAAGATGTTGTTGTTTACTGTCCAGTCGGAACTGAACCATAGCTGACCCTCCAGCAGGTTTTCAGAGGCAGTAAATTGCACAGAAGGAGCTTGCCCATCCTTCTCCCATGGAGCAGCTGGTGGATTTGAACCGCATACCTTTGGGATTGCAGTGCGACTTCTTACCGCTAGGTCTCCAGAGTTCCCTGATGTTGTTAGGTGACACCAAGTTAACTATGTCTCACAGCGACCCTATAAACAGCAGACCTGAACCTCACCCTTCCTATGTCATCCCCACCATTTTTGAGATGCTTGAGCCCTTTGTTATGGTCACTGTGTCTTCTCATTATTTTGAGGGTCTTTCTCTCTTTCTGTGACCCTCCATCTTCCCCAGCATGATGTCTTTTTTTGAGGTCTGGCCCCTCCTAATAACACACTCAAAATACATGAGATCACATTCCAATATCCATGCCTCTATGGTTGCATTTCCTCTGAGATATACGTGTTTGCTTTTCTGGCAGTCCATGAAATATTTAGCATTCTTCACCAATACCACAGTTCAAAGGCTTTGGTCCTTCTTCTGTCATCCTTATTCACTATCCAACTTACAGATGCATAGGAAATAAGTGACAATATTATGGCTTGGATCAGGAAGCTCTGGTGGTTTAGTGGTAAGGAATTACACTGCTAACCCAAAGGTATGCAGTTCGAATGCACCAGCTGCTCTGAGGAAGAAAGGTTGGTATTCAACTCCTGTGAGATTAACTGCCTCTGAAACTCGCTGAAGAGTCAGCTATAAGTTGTTTCTGACTTGATGGTACATAACAACAACATGGCTTGGATTGGCACACCTTAGTCTCAGCTGACAGCCTTATTCTTCAGCACTTTGGAGAGGTCTTTGACAGCAGTTTTCCCCCAGTACAATTCTTTAATTTTCATGGAAACTGGTGTTACATAACAGCAATACTTTTTATAACAATAGCAGTTGTACCATTGGGTGTTGATTGTGGATCCAAGTAAAATGAAGTCGTGGACAACATCAATCTTTTCTCCATCTAGGAAGCTGTGGCATGTTGGCCCAGAGTGGTATATGTTGTTGTTGCTATGTACTATCGAGTCAGCTCTGACTTATTACCGACCCTTCCATGGTTCCTAGGGGCAGTTACTTGCATGGGATTAAACTGCCCATCTTTCTTGAATCACATGTCTTTGGATAGAGTGTGCAACTCTTTACCACTAAGCCACCAGAGCCCCCTTCCAGTGATGATGTCAAATCCAATTGCAAATCCAACTCCTAGTCCTGCTACAAGACCAGAACAATTAAGCTACTCAAGTTCCTGCTTGGAGAACAGCTGCTGTCACACCAACTTTGACTTGTGACCACATGCGTCCCAGAGAAGTTGGCCCTTCAGAGTTTTCACTGACCAACTTGTTGAGATGCCTTTGGGTGGACTTAAACCTCCAACCTTTTGGTTAGTAGTCAAGTGTATTAACTATTTGCATCATCCAGGAAGCCCTTCAGCTGGCACTAAACAAAAAAATTCATTGCTCCCGAGTTCATTGCTACTCATGGAGACTCCATATGTCACAGAACTGATAGTTTCTGGACTTGAAAGTAACGAGTTTGGATTTTGGAATCTTTGCAGAAGCTCATCACCAGCCCTTTCTGTTGAGGTGTTTATGAGGGAACTTAAACCTCCAAACTTTCACGTAAGCAGCTGAGAGCAGTTTGCACATCCGAGGACTCTGAATTAGCAAAGCTTTGTTTATTACTTTCTATTGTCTTATTACTTTCTATTGTCTTCTCTGAGTGCGTGAATACCCTATGCTGTTCCCAAGCCCTGGTGACACGTTCTTCGACTTGTCTCAGTCTTCCTGCTGTTTCTCTCCATCAGATTGGAGTCCCACCTGGGCTCTGTGAAGGTAAGGACCATGTTTTCCATGCACACTGGTGGCTCCCTGAGGGCAGGTGCTATGCCTCTTTCATTCTCTAGACTCAGGTTCCAGCTCAGCCACAGTGGGCATGAGGTGGTCAGGGGGACGGGGACAGTGACAGTCATTATCAACGGGCAGGTGGCTGTGCCCTTACAACTTCTGTTCCAGAGAGACTGAGTCTCAAACTTGCTACTGGGACCAGGTCTGAGATCAAACTCCAGGATCTAGGTCACCCCCTTGGCGGATGAGCTGATTTATGTGCCCCTGACAGCCTAATATGATCCAATTACCCCACACAATGGAGAGAGGCTGGGCTGCCGCTGGGCAGTGACCAAGGATCTAAGAGCCTGGGGCAGCTGGCTGCCTCCCACACCCCAGACCTCCCGAGAGCCTGTGGGGGGAGGCTGGTGCACACAAAGGGCACACCTAGGTGTGCCACCTTCAACTTGGAGGTATAAGTAGGCCGCTCTGGAGACAGCTCCGTACATCGCACTCCAGCCAGCAGCAGTGCAACCACAACCACCTCCCAGCATCCCAGCAAGCTCAGGCGTTACCATGAGCTGCAGACAGTTCACGTCTTACTGGAGCCGCAGCAGCAGCAGCGGTGGCGGTGGCGGAGGCAGCAAGGGCGGCCGGGGCAGCGGGGGCAGCATGAGGTCCTCCTCCAGCCACTTCAGCTCCTCGGGGGGCAATGGAGGGGGGGGCAGGTCCAGTTCTTCCAGTAGCTATGGCGGGGGCAGCTCTGGGGCCTATGGAGGAGGTGGTGGCAGTTTGGGCTCCAGTTACCGTGGAGGATCTGGTGGTGGTTTCAGTGCTGGTAGCTTTAGCTGTGGTTCCAAACGCTTTGGTGGTGGTTCTGGAGGATTTGGCAGCTCTGGCAGCTCTTGGAGAGGCTATGGTGGTTCCGGAGGAGGCTTTAGTGGGTCTAGCAGCTTTGGTGGGTCTGGGGGCTTTGGTGGGTCTGGAGGCTTTGGTGGGTCTGGGGGCTCTGGTGGGTCTGGGGGCTATGGAGGAGGGTATGGTGGGTCTGGAGGCTTTGGTGGACCCGGGAGTGGCGAAGGGGGCATTCTTAATACTGACGAGAAGGTCGCCATGCAGAGCCTTAATTTCCGGCTGGCCCAGTATATGGATAAGGTGCATTCACTAGAGAATGCCAACGCTGACCTGGAGCAGAAGATCCGGGAGTGGTACGACAGACACGACCCCCAAAAGTCACAAAAGGACTATTCTCACTATTATGACACTATTAATGATCTCCACAACCAGGTAGGTGGATAAACGGCAATCTTTCTCATCCAAATTTTTTTTATTCCCATTGGGGTCTGCCTTGAATGTTTCCAGTTTTGTTTGGACTCAGACAACTGTTCAAGCGACAGGGAGCATCTAGAACTCTAGGGACAGAAGGCATTCATGTAACCTATTCATGTATCTTTCATCTGTCCACCCATCTGTATATCCATCCAGTCATTTCTTAATTCCCCCCAGTCATCCCGTGAAAACCCTCAGTGTTGTTCTGGGCAGATACAGTGACGTGTTGTATTTGATTTCTGCCCTTGAAGAGCTCAGTCTGGTTAATCCTTGTTCTCATCTGTTCCCTTTGTTTTCAACTACTGTTCTTTTTCTATCTTTCTGTGCCCTATTCAGTTGTCACCTCTTCTCTGAAGTCTTTGATTTCCCACAGCAATAAGTCATGTCACCTTTCTTTGAATTCTTTTAGGGGGCTTTGAACCTTCTAGTTGACTTTAGGATCCCTGGGGAACATACCTAAATGATCTCTAACTGCACCCTCTTGTGCAGTAGACCTTTAAATGTTTGTGGAGTAAATGAATGAAGGTCACATCCAGCATCCTTGCTAAAGGTTTGTGTCACGTACCAGTTGTTGGGAGCTCTTTCTGCTTCTTGAGCAACTTCCTGGATAGATCATCACTACCTACAGCTTTGCCTGACCTCTCTCCCTCTAGACTATGGGCATAGTGAAGGAGAAGGGGCTCCATGTTGTCCCCTCTTTTTCAGATTGTAAACGCCACAGTGACCAACAACAAAATTCTCCTGGACATGGACAATACTCGCATGACCATGGAAGACTTCAGGATGAAGTGAGTCCCTTCTCCCTATTCTGCCATCAATCCTCATCCCACTTGGCAGTGCTACGGTGTGTGTATGTGTGTGGGGGGTTGTCCTTGCAGGAACCGATGCCTCCCTGTTATTACCTCTGCAGGTATGACATGGAGCAGAACCTGAAGCAAGCAGTGGAGGCTGACATCAATGGCCTGCGCACGGTGCTGGATAACATGACCATGAAGAAGTCTGACCTGGAGATGGAAAAGGAGACTCTGATGGAAGAGAAGATGGCCCTCAATAAGAATCACCAAGAGGTACAGTCCTGGAAATCTGGGGTGTGTTGGAGAGGCGGGGAGACAGAAACGCACAGGCAGCGGTGAAGGGCATTAGGGAGCCTTACCTGAGGAGTCACTCCTCGCTCTCTTTGGCACAGCCTGTGATAGTACGTGGGCTTTGGCTTCAGAAATGTGTTCTTCAATTTCCTATCCTGGAGAGAGCGAAGGGAAAGGACAGAAATGGTATAGAGAGGATTAACCTGTGTCAGCTTGTATCCCCTTCTTCCTCCGTAGGAGATGAGCCAGTTGACTGGGCAGAACTCTGGGGATGTCAATGTGGAGATGAATGCGGCTCCTGGCCAAGATCTCACCAAGATCCTTAATGACATGCGCCAGGAATATGAAGAGATTATTGCTAAGAACCGTAAGGACATTGAAGATCAATATGAGAGTCAGGTGAGCGGTGTATCTTTCCATTTTTCGTTCCCCATTCCAGCATCTTCATTATTCCATCCTCTAATTCTTCCACCCCCATCCCTTCACCCTCCCGTCCTTCCATCTCATCCTTCTATCCCCAGTCCTTCCATCCATACCATAGCCTTCCATCCCTCACATTTCCACTCTCCAGACTTTTGTCCTTCCATCTGTCATACCTTCATTTCCCATTTTCCACCTCCCAATTAATTCATTCCATACAAATGTAATTGTTGAGTGGCTTTTTGGTGCTAGATTTTACGTTAAATTTTATTGTCTCAGAGATGAGAGATGAACCAAATAAGATTGCTACTCTTGAGAAGCTCAGTCTGTTGAGTTGTGTATATGAACAAGAGTGAGCATGAATAACCTCCTCTAATGCTGTGTGACATAAGACTCTGGCAGAGACATGCTGTTTTCCTCCCACTGAGTTTCTTGATGGTGGGAGCTATGCTGCCCTCCTCCCTGGCTCTTCAGTGCTTAGCATAGAGGGTGGCATATGAGGGCATGAGTCTCTCTCTCTCTCTATTATGCATGTGTTTGAAATGTGGGGTAAGTGAAATAAGATTAGAAAATTGATTCAATGGCAAAGGAAGGAGGGCTTTGCAACTTTGTTGAGGAAGAATATGAGGTTAAACCCTGGATCTGGCTGGAGGGACTCAGCACTCATAATGACTTGGCCTTGACCTTGGCTCACCTGTGGCACTGGATGTGAAGGTCAGGGAGGATGGGCAAAACCTTATTGACTACAGCCCTAGGCCTAGTTTGATCCTGACTGAGGTTTTGTATTTGCAGATGACCCAGATTGAGCAGGAAGTGACAGTCAGTAGCCAGCAGATGGAGTCCAACATCAAGGAAGTGACCCAGCTCCGGCACAATGTCCAAGAGTTGGAGATCGAGCTGCAATCTCAGTGCAGCTTGGTTAGTAGTCCTGCTACCAGGGTGGGGCACAAGGAGGACCTGCCTGGTCCCTGCGAGTGCAAAGGAGAGGCACTATAACACAGCATCCCTCTCAACATTCTCCCGTTTTCTAGAAATCTGCCCTGGAGAACGCCTTAGAAGAGACCAACAACCGCTACGGTGGCATGCTGCAGCAGATCCAGGGCCAGATCAGCAGTCTGGAGAGTCAAATCTCAGAGATCCGGGCAGAGACTGAGTGCCAAAACCAGGAATACAGCCTTCTGCTCAGAATCAAGACCCGGCTGGAGCAGGAAATCGAGACCTACCACAGTCTCCTTGAGTCTGGACGGGAGGACTTGTAGGTGTCCTAGGACCCTGGGGAATACTTACCCAGGCCTTTGGTGCCACTCCAGTCTCTCTGGACAAAGGCAGCTAGGAAAGGAACTTTTCACAAGAGCCCCATGGGTTGGGGGTTTCTTCACCCTGAAGGGTATCTTCTCAGTGTTTACGCTTTGGTAAAGGATTAACGTGTCAAGAGAGGAAGGAATTCCACTCTGTTCCAGGGAAAGGAAATTTCCAAAAATTCCATCTGGAAGAGATTCTCTCCCAGCTGGTGTGCCAACACAATCCTTGCTCTCCACAGAAAAAGGGAAATTTAGGGAGAATCCTGTTTGGGTTTTGACTTTGTCCAGATTCATCCTTGTGGAGCTGTTGAGGGGTAGTCATTAATTTTTATGTCTCTTTTCTTTATAGTGAATCTTCTGGAGCTGGAAATATTGGCTTTGGAGGTGGCAGTTCAAGAGGAGGTGGAAGTAGAGGAGGAAGTGGGTCTCGAGGTGGAAGTGGAAACAGTCATGGTGGCAGAGGGTCTAGTGGAGGCAGCTATGGAGGAGGAAGTGGAGGTAGTAGCTATGGAGGAGAAGGTGGAAGTGGCCACCACGGATCAGGTCATAGCGGAGGCAGCTCTGGGGGAGGAAGTGGCCACCACGGATCAGGAGGTCATAGTGGAAGCAGCTATGGAGGAGGAAGTGGAAGTGGCCACCATGGATCAGAAAGTCATAGTGGAGGCAGCTCTGGGGGAGGAAGTGGAAGTGGCCACCATGGTTCAGGAGGCCATAGTGGAAGCAGCTATGGAGGAGGAAGTGGATCAGGCGGTCAAAGTGGAGGCAGCTATGGGGGCAAAAGTGGGTCTGGAGGAGCAAGTGGTGGCAGCTACGGGGGCGGAAGTGGATCCGGTGGTCACAGCGGAGGCAGCTATGGGGGCGGAAGTGGCTCAGGTGGTCACAGCGGAGGCAGCTACGGGGGCGGAAGTGGATCCGGTGGTCACAGCGGAGGCAGCTATGGGGGCAAAAGTGGGTCTGGAGGAGCAAGTGGTGGCAGCTACGGGGGCGGAAGTGGATCCGGTGGTCACAGCGGAGGCAGCTACGGGGGCGGAAGTGGATCC